CCTGAAAAAACTATAAAAATTCCTCCACTCAGGAGACTCTGGTTCCATACATGTTAGCAGAGCCCACATAGCTCTGCTTTGACCACTCCTTCTAATAATCAATAAAAGGTACATATTAATGCCCCTGGGATGCACATAGGATATAAAATTTAGGCATAAAAAGCAAATTTTAGTATCTCATAGTTATGGATAGCTTGATATGTAAATCAAAGCATTTGTTAGTCTAGGCTCTCTCTAACAACTTTGGGAGGAAGTTTTCCTCTTCCTTTCCACAGCGTCAGTGTTTTCTGGCAATCCTAGGCTTGTCCTATCTTAGGGGAGCTTCATACCTGTCATTTGACTCTCTTCTCCCCATAGGCTATAATACTTCTCACCTTAATACTACATTTCAAATTAATTGCTTTCTAAATTCTGTGTTTGCAAGCAAGGTGTGGTAGCTTACGCTTGAGATGCCAGCACTTAGAGGAAGTACAGCAAGAAGGTACCCACAGTTTGAGGGCAGTCTACAATACAAAATGAAACCCTCCCTCAAAACATCAAAAAGAAGGAAAGAAAAAAGAAAGGAAAAATGAGACCTTATGAAGAGTAACATTTGACAGATAACTAGGTCATAAGCATACCTTTTGTGGGGGAATAATTCATCTGAAATTATAAAATTTTCATGGACAAATCAGAATATGAGATGGAGGTAGGACTTCCTTAGACAGACAAGAGATAGAACAGTCTGTGAAGACAGGCTCATCGTCATCGTACCTGTCTAAGATGAGTAGTAGCAGCCCTTGACTACAAGTCATAGCAGGAGGGGCTGCCATAATGATTCAGTGGATAAAGTTGCTGTCACATGAACAGGAGCACTGGATTTGGATTTCTAGGAACGACATAAGACCTTGACAGTTGTGGGAGGCAGAGAAAGGGGATCCCTGAAGTAAGATGGCGAGTTAGATTAGTTGCAATCCGCAAACCCCACCCAGGCACAATATATAAGATGGAGAATGGTTGGGGAAGACACCTACTATCAACTTCTGACCGCTACACACTTGTATACAACACACATTGCCACACACCCCCTCTCCCTCACACACACACATACACACACACCCACACATACACATACACACACACAAACACACATACACACACACACACACACACACACACACACTGAAAGTACATGATATTATTCTGAATTCTCCAGAAGACAAACTGTCAGTGAAGAGAAGTTAGCTAACTCACTGCATCATGGAGCTGGATGGCAGAGAATTGATGTTGTATCAGTCTCAACTTCTGCTCTTTACAAAGATGGTCTGCCTGTTACTGTCTTCCCCACACCAATGGAGGATTAACTCTGGTGTGTGGTGGGTTCCTTTCCAGAAGTGCTTTTACAGTAAGGCACAGACATATGTTTGATCCACTTGTGGTGGCTGAAGGGCTGTGCCATGAAGAGGGGCATACTTTAGGATCATGAGTGCCATTCCTACCGAAGGATGCATTTTCTTTAGAAGAGAAAGCCAACTTATAAACAAGAAGCTATTGATCATGAAGAGAGTTTTTCCGTTGGCTTTTATCAAGTGCCTTGCCTTTTTCCCTCTTAAGAAGCCTGTAGCAATTTAGAAAGTGTGCTCAGTTAAGTTGTTTCTGTTTTTTTCCTCCTCCTGTATTCTTTCTAAGCTCTTCATGCTAGAGATAAAGCCCTGATCAATTCACAGCCAGAGTGGAAATGCTGTTATAAGAAATCTTAAAAAATAAAAGAACAAAATGCTAAAACTTCATATTTCAGTTGAACATGTTTTGCTCATTTGTTTGCCATAAGTGATACCAATAGGAACAGCAGTTATGGAGCCTCCGAGTTTAGATTACTGTATATGCTATTTTTCACTCCACTTTTTTTTCCATTTAGGCCTCTAGAAAAGAAAAATTCCTACTAAGAGAAAGTGAAAGCAACGGAAAGTAAAATTTATAACTTTCTTTAATGCAAATGAACTGCTTTTCCCAGACCTTGCTTACTTTAGTCACAAAATGTATATACTGGGGAGCAATGGAATCATATGGATTCTTCACAGTTTCTCACTTTGTCTGAGCTCCTATGATGGTAAAAATTAAGTCTCTTTGGGATTCGTATGACTCAAGTACACTAAATATTTGAATCAATAGACACTATATCCCTTGCCCAACTGCTAAGCCATCTAGCTCCTTTTTTTACACATCACCTAGCAAGAATAGATGGATTTTCACGGCCACTTGTACCAACCATGTTTTTCCAGAATACTTGATGAGTTCTTGATGCCAATGACCATTTACCAGCTTGCATTTCAGCTTATGACTAGACTCCTTCCAAGCATTCTTTTTCTTTTTGGATGTCCACAGATTAAGTTCATTCCAGCTCAGCTTCTGCAGTTCTCAATTATATCACCTCCAGCATATCTAGACCATCAATCTAGCTAAAAAAACAAACAAACAAACAAACAAAAAAACCACAGACATAAATTGGAGAAAACAAGTGTCAAAAAAAAAAAAAACTTGTTCTTTTTGTTTCTCTGTCTTGGTGGTATGATACCTGGCCCTGAAAGACCCAAGGTCCCACCAATCACCACAGTGACAGTGGAGCCCAATCCAGAAACAGCTGTCCAAAGCTAATTTATTTCCTAATGCTTAGGCACTGTTAATTTATAAATTACACCAGTAATTTGAGCTATTATTAATTTCAGATGGTGTAGGGCAAGCCTAATTAAAATATGACACGAATTGCCACACATATGTACCAAGGACTACCATTTAAAATTAATGGGAATATTAAGTGTGACACTGGTCTCTGAGATGCTTTGCACAGTAATTATAGCATTCTAGTGCACAAAGATCTGACAAATGTTGGCCTGGAATTGGTAGCAAATAAACAACAGCCATGCAAGAGGAATCTCAATTTCTTTACTGGAGTCCCTTCTCACTTCCTCTCCTCTTCCTCAACCAAGATTCTAAAGAGTATATTAACCTGAAATCACAATACTGCTGCAGAAGTTTCTTACGGTTGGTTCTTGCATCTTTTGGGGGATTCAAAATGATGGTTTTCAGGGCTGGGCTGTCAGCCCTGTTTTCTACTTAGTCAATATACCCTTGCTTCTTGTGGATTTAATGTTTTTCATGTTTTTTATGAGAAGTTGGCACTTCTTTTCTCCTTCAAAGGGAATAAAAGAAAATGCTGATAGTCATTCAGTACAGAGTCAATAAGGCCTAAATATATGTAAACGAGTGTGCTGGGCTAGTATGGTGTTGCCCAAAATTATCATGACTAAAAAAATTTCAGGAGAGTGGATAGTGATGGCCCTTCCTTACAACATAATGGGATGTGTTTATTTCTCTATTATGGTTGCTTCTGTTGCTATTGTTACTGTTGCCATGACACACATGCAGACACCACTGTCATGTACAGCTACAGCTTACATGCCATGTACATAATGCTTTGGATTATGCTAATTTCTTAGTTACTGGTTTTATGTTCTGGGTTAACAGAAACATGTTGACATTGTGAACATATTTTTTTTTTTATGGCCTACATCCAAGAGTCCCTCTTCCATTCCTGGGACTGTCCACATGAATACAGTTTCATGCCAGCTCCTGCTGGGCCTCTGTAAAGCATTTAGGATGAACAGCATCACCGGGTGGGCGGTATATGAGAGTTTCCCAAGATTTTCATGTGTCCTATGTTTTTTTTCTCTGTTGCTCTCAGTAACTCCTTGAGATAGCAGACCTACTCCATGTGTGTTGCATGTAGCAAAGTGTTCCTCCATTCCTAGCAACAATCCCACTTTCAGTTTGTTGTCCCAGGAGCAAGCATAATGCCCCTTTCACTTGCCTTTTATAGCATCCTGCTTTAGGATATTGTCATTCTCATTATCCTCATTAAACAATGAAGGGAGGATAATCACAGGAATTCAACTGCAAGTTCCTTCCTTACTTTCTATTGTTAGGGAAATTAAGGCACTGGACAACTTCAAAACAGAACGTGGACATTTACATTCTCTAAGTGTCTTGGGCTCGGCCAGGTGTAGTGGCACACACAGCCTGTAATCCTAATATTGGGGAGGTGGAAACAAGATCAGGTGTGCAAGATCTAAGCAACGTATTGCGTTTAAGGCAAGCCTGGGGTGTATGAGACCATGCTGGGACTTAGTCGTTGCACAACTGGATGTTCGTAGAAATACATCATGTATGGGATGTGGTGTGGATATGGACATTATTAATGATTTTCCCCTAGAGAAGAGAAATCAAATTTCTGAATGCTTAAGTGATAGGGCAAGACTTGTAGTCATGACTTCTTACTCTTTTCCCTCTGGTCATCTTGTGATTGGATACTGCATGGGTGGTCCTGATGCTGGTTTCTTATTTGGGTTTTATGCCTAAGAGTTCCAGGAGATCAATGTCTGGAAAATTAGTATCTACCTATCTGCTTGTTTTTCTACTGTGAAAACAAAGGTATTTTAATTGTATTTGTCTCACTGCTGATGTTTCTCCTGTATAATTGTGTGTGTGTGCTATGTATGTGGTGTGTGTGTGTGTGTGTGTGTAAAATCCTTATGCAGTATCCTAAACTGACTCATGCCCAGGCTGGCAATATGCAGCTTAGCATCAGAAGCTTACTTTAAACGGTGCCTGAAGGTCAGAAAGAGTTAAGGTGCCTGCTCCAGTCCCAGAGCTGGACCACATGGTACAATCCCAGCAGTGTAAATGTCAAAATTATTAATCACTTATGGAGATCCAGTTAATTCTCTCCATACATGAGTTCAGTAGGATCACAAACACTGCAGCAGGGACACTGGGGAGCTAAGGGAAAGAGAGTGTGAAAGCAGAGAAAGAAATAAGGAAGAGAGAAAGACTCCGTAGAGTTCCTAAAATGTTGAATTGACAAAGTGGCATTTCTCCGGGTGTTAGCAGTTCATACTTTGTTTTCTAGTGAGAGTCCTGAGCCTTTGCTTCCCACTCACTACATCTCCCTCTTTCTCCTGTAGCTGTCGGCTTCGTGAGTGAGGATGAGTACCTGGAGATCCAGGGCATCACTCGGGAGCAGTCAGGCGAGTACGAGTGCAGCGCCTCCAACGATGTGGCGGCACCAGTGGTACGAAGAGTGAAGGTCACCGTGAACTGTGAGTGGCCTTGCCAGACCCCACTCCTTGAGTCTGTGAGGGTGGCCTGATACCAAGACTTCAGTAATGAACCAGCCCTCAGAGAGACAGGGAAGACCCAGCGTCACTTCCGGGTCTCTGCTTTCAAGAGTTAAGAGTCTGAGAGTCCAAAGTCTTATGTTGTTTCATTTTGCTTTGTTTTGTTTTGTTTTGTTTCACAACCCCAGGTGTCACCCTTCTTTTTAAAAGTAGCTGAGAGTAACTTTATATAATATTAAACTTTCATAAATGGCTAGCGAATCAATAAACAGCATTGAATGCATGCTTTATATAAATGAATTTTAAAATTCAAAGTTTTCCTGTAATTTACTCACATGAGGGAGTGGCAACCTTCCCAGACAGATCCTTTCAGTAGAGCAGAGAGATCTGAGCTAGAGAAGACTTCATCTGCGTGTGTTATGCTTTTTGTATCTCAGCCTTTTGTAATGAAGATGTTGCAATACCAGACTACGGATTAAATACATAATTTAAATATAAGTAGATACAAATGCTGATTTGTAGAAAATCTACCATTTTTATTTTTTAACTAATAGAAGCAAAATTCAAAATCTTTGAAGGCCAGTGCTGTGAAAACTTCATATTCCCTATATCAACCCTCTAATCCTCCCTGACATTGATCTACATTAATTTTCTATCAATTTCTCACCCTTTTTCTTCTGGGTTCCTTCCTATGTGCCTTAATTTGGTTCTCTATGGCTTATAAAAAGTTCTTGCTTACAAAAGAATATAACCTTAGACCTAGACCAGCAGCACAGAAGCCTCTGCCCTTCAACATGGGCAAAATGGGGGAGGAGAAAGGCACCTGAGAGTAGTACCTTGATTTTTGTTCTATTTTTAACCTAGATATTATGAAACACTTTAGTAGTAAAAGTAAGACAATACTACCCTGTATCGCTATTAATTAAAGTTTAATTTTGAGGAACCTTAAAATGATTTACAATTATTGACTCAAAATGAAAAATAAATAAATAAATAAATAAATAAATAAATAAATAAAAGTAGAAGCAAAGGAAAAAATATTATGGAAATTAGTAAAAGGAGAAAGTCAGCCCATGACATCTGAAATATAAAGCAGCAGTCTATAGGGTTCGTATTCAGAATCTGCTTTTACAAAGCTAAAGCAAAGGAAAGGTCATCTACTCTAAGATGTACATCATCTGCAAGATTAAAGCAAGCGATTTTCTTAGGAGAAACCTCGCTTTCCCTGGTACTGTGACCCTAGAGAAAAGTCTCCCCAGGATCTGTGTAAATTGACACTTTCCAATACAGTCCACACATCATATACAACGTCCCTGCATCAAACAGAACAGTAATCTAGTGTGCCTGTTTTGTTTTTTTTAATACCCACCAGTGCAAACTGCTTGGATGCCACAGGTAGCTGAGTGAAGACTTCAAATGAAGGCAGACCAAGCAAGGACGTCTAGTTTAGCACAGGATCCATTTCACAATGCCCATGGGAAGCACTCGTCTGTATATCCTTCAGGCAACTGTCCATGAATATTATTAGTTATAACCGAGACGTAGGTGGGAATTGAGTAGTTTGAAGTCATACACTTTGGCAAGAACCTGGTGTACAGAAATTCTATGAAGATGACTAAAGGTGCTGACGGCCACCCCATGGAGTGTAAGGCTGATATGTGGGTGTCATCCTATGAAAGTTAAAAGGCTTTAAACAGGCACTGTACCATAAGACCTGACTGCTCAACCTCAGTACCGAGAGAAGCAATGTATGCTGAAAGATGACTTTCTTTAAAATGGCGTCCAGACCATTCCCATTCTCTGCTACAATCCACACAGCAGTCTTATGATGCAGATGACTAGAAGGAGTGCAGGGAGTAAGAAACAAAACCTATGAATGAACCAGGTTTTTGTTATTTTCAAGAGTACTCTTAAATTGCATGCGCCATCTTCTTTCTGTAGATCCACCATACATCTCAGAAGCAAAGGGTACAGGTGTCCCGGTGGGGCAGAAGGGAACTCTGCAGTGTGAAGCTTCCGCAGTCCCTTCAGCAGAATTCCAGTGGTTCAAGGATGACAAAAGGTACTGTCCACTTCTGCATCAATCTCCATTGTGATTCCCAATTGCAGAGAGTCGAATTTTAATTCCTGAGAAATCCTTTCCTGACATCATATGGGCACATGGCATGGAAGGAAGTCTTTCTAAATTAAGAAAAGTTCAGCTAGGCTTCTGATGTCATTTTCTGTATTATCACTCGTCAAACAGCAGAACTGAAAGACAATATAATTTAGCCAAGCAAAAATAAGAAAACAAAAGCCACCAACAATATTGTTGAAAGCCTTGGAAATAATGTATTCTGCAGAGAGCTATTTTTAACACTTTCCCAGGCCTAAGAAATTCTGTTTGACTCTAGGAGAAGCTTTCAAGTTGTCTGCCCATCACAGATCTCTACACCCCTCCCTGAGGTTCTCAGTACCACTGTGTACGGGTCCATGACCCTTGTGCACCCTCCCTTGTGTGAAGGTTGTCCTTTCTCTGTAGGAGAAAAGAGTCAGGACTATTCCCTTCCTTGCCATTGTCGCTGAATCCCTGAAGATGATCAGTTTGAGGAGTTATCAAATTGCGTGTCAGTGCAGGGGTCAGCAGCTCTGTATAGCCAGGCAGCATGACAAAGAGCTATTTGGAGGTGGATGAACAACAAATAAATGTGTAAGCTTTGTATGTGTTCAGAATATTTTCATAAGAGCAGAGGTGGTGGCACTGGAGGCACTGTGAGATCTGTGGATGGATGACCAGAGCAATGGAGACTGGGCACCAGAAACCACAAAGAAAGTTTGAGAAAGGGCTCGTGCTCACTACACTGTCTTTTGTTTCCTTGTGCAGTCTCTAAGGCCTCACAACATCTTCTATCTCCTTAGCTAATAAACTACTTTTATCTAGACTCAAGTCACTCCATCATAAGTTCCACATCCAGTGAGTGACACTGCAGGGGATTTTAGGACACATTCTGGCAGTCTGTAGTGAGGTGTGTTAGAATTAAGGCAGAAAGAGGTGGACAGAGTCACTGAAGTAAAAAATGGAGGTGGCTGTTTTCCTTCATTCAAGAAATCATAAATCCTTGTTTCACACCACCTTTCTTATTGTAATAAAGAGAAACTGAGGGTTGGAGTCCCAAGATTCACCTCTGTTTAAGAACGCTATTGAAGTCTCAGTGCTAAGCCACAGCACTTTGTAGTTCAAATTCTTGATAGAAAAAAAATCGAAACAAAACAAGATCTCAAAATGTGAGAAGAAAAATACAACAAAAATGAAATGTGTACTGAGGCAAAAGAAGAGAGCTGTCCTTTTGCAAAGCACAACTCTAAGCAGGGACCACCAACTCTGTCATCATTTACCCTGAGGTAAAAGAGACAGTGCCCCAAAGCTGGCTAGGAGACCTTGGTAGGCAACTTTGTGGCCTACTTAATATCATTTTTATATATTTCTTTTTGCTTCTTCCCATTGATTTTTCTGTGTCCATTTATTCATTTGAAAAGTTTTCTCACTGAATGAGTTTCTCTGTCCTCCCAGCAACGAGCATGCCAAGAACATTTCTACTGTGTGGTCCTTGCCACAGCTTTTCTTCTTCCTGCCACTGAGGCTACAAGGCAAGTGTGGCCTCAGGTCTCAGACAGAACATGGCATCTGTCCAAGTAAATGACAACTGAAGCTCATTTCATTTTCACTGACACACGCAGAATTCTGCCACAAATAGAAGAGACTTTGGCTGGGATGGGCAGTTTTATAGACGTCTTTGGGGGCCTCGCTTGACTGATAAGTTTGCTTCCTTGCCCTATGTCTGCTGTCAGTCAAAGAGAAAGGAAGTGAAGTTCTATATTTAAGAACCCTGGCCACTTAACAGAGATAGTAGCAACTGAATGTCCTACAACTTCCTTAAGACAGCTAACAGGGGTAGCAGTCAGGGATAGGGGATCCTTGAGTGCCTAAGGGAGTATTGTGTGTCATCCCAGGGGTGTGAAATGCTGCAAAGTGATGTTGGCCACCCTACACTATTGTTAGGTACAGACATTTCTGAGCTATCAAGCAAGAACCTGCTTTTGCTACACCTCTTTCTATAGGGAGCTGAAATCCAATTTGCAGTTTGGTTCTGATGTGAAGATATCTTACTTTACCTAGCACACTGCTAACCTAGTATGTGGGCTTCACACCCATAAATCTCACAGAAGCCTCTCACAGTGGCTGTGAGCCTTGGACAGCACCCCTTAACAAAATTAACTTGTATGGAACAAGCTAGAGGTAGAGCAGTGGCCTCTGGTCCCATAGCAGGGTGCCTTCTGGCATTTCACAGAGCCAACAGGCCTTTCAATGAAGATAGTAGACTCACACCAGTTCACAGCCCTTAGCTTTTGAGAAAGGAAGACACCTAGAGAAATCTCTCTAGAATATCAAGCAAAGCAGATTCTGAAAGTCCATCATCTCCCTTGCCCAGAAGCTAACATAGCCAGGGAAGACAGTTCCAGACTGATCCCCTGAGAGACCCTGGAAGACTGCTCTTTCCAAATAGTTGTGTTAGGTAGAATGTGTCATTATGATGATGATATCATAGAGTGGTGTAGATATCATGACTTCTAGACTTTTAGTCCATCCTATGAGAAAAAAATGACCATGTTTTCTTTTTCTTTCCCCCTCACTTATCTTTCCTTTTCTATTCCTTCTTTGCCTAGACTGGTCGAAGGGAAGAAGGGAGTCAAAGTGGAAAATAGACCTTTCCTTTCAAAGCTCACTTTTTTCAACGTTTCTGAACATGACTATGGGAACTACACGTGTGTGGCCTCCAACAAGTTGGGCCACACCAATGCCAGCATCATGCTATTTGGTGAGACTCTGCCCTGAGATGGGCAACGGGAGTGTGTGAAATGGGGAAGTGCTGACAGAGGGAAAGAAGTGAGCTGGGTGACATGTGTGAAAGAATAAGAAGGGGGAGAAAGAGCACGCGTGCATGTAAGAATGTAGGCCTCAGAAATGGGCAGAGAAAAATGCGATGTTCATTTATCTGAAATGACAAAAGTCCTGAAATGGGAGGAAAGGGTGGCTTTAAGATGCCAAAAATGACTTTTCTTCCTCCTAGTGATATCTCCAAAACTGACTCGGGGATTATAATTGGACAAAATAGTTAAGATCTCTGAAAGGAGGATTTACAGCTTCAGTCCTTTGCTCACTGGGCTAAATAACATGTTCCCTTTTCTGAAACTTTCCCAGCCATTGGCACATAAGAAAAAACTGAATAACATTCATAAGAGCTGAATCACAGCCCTTGGAATCCTTAATAATATTCATTTCAGAGACGGGCAGATAAAGAAGACAGAAAATAGGACTTTCCAAGTTCTCTATTTGTGTCGATGGCTGGTAAAGACATTTACCCATCCTCACCATCATCTTGAGAGATGTCATCTCATTGTTCATGCACCAATTCCTTAGCTCTTTACTAAGGGACTAAGTTTATAAAGCAATTTTTCTGTCCTCATTTCATGCCTAGCCACTGTATTGGTGGCAGAAGGAGTAAGCAAGCTTCTTGGAAAGCACTGGGTACCTACACTGTGTGTGAGCTATGTCTATGGAGGAGGGACTGATTGTCCATGGCTTTAAAGCCTTAATGGGTACAGATACTTCTAATGGGCCATGTGATTAATTTCTGCTTGCCTTTTGACCACATTTCTCCATATCCTACCAAGTTCAAGGACTCAAATTTTCCAATCAGTTGTTCCCATTTCCTGGGTTTAAAATGCACTGGAAGGTGGTAGAAAGGGAAACGAGAGATGTGAACATCAATTCTTGCTCTCCTGAGAGATCCCAGGCAGCCTCTCAGCCTCACGGGCTCTGCTCTGCTTTCTGCCCCTGCCACATGCCCTTGGTGCTAACAGCATATGCTCAGTATGCTCAGTGGTACTCTGCTTCCTAATCACATCCTCCCGACTTCCTACTCAGCATATGAGACAGAGCCCAGTGCCCACCTTTACTGAGAGAGCTGCGACAGGGAAGGCCATGTTTGATCCTGGAACATATAGCTCAGAAGGGGCATGCTGTGAGTAAAGTGACTAAAAAGCTTAGAGTCTCAATAAGGATAGCCATAAGCGTTCTCCTAGGTATGGAGCTAGCCATGTGACTCTCTTGTGCATGGAGATCATCATAAGTGCCCTTTTGTGCATGGGAATAACCATAAGAATTCTCACATATGAGGACAGTCATTTACTCCTCTCGTGATCATGGGAATTGCCATAAGTACCTCTCTAATCTGTCAGACCTTTAGGATTTTAGAGACAATTTCTGTCTGTATGCACAAAGGATACATTTAGAAATGGTAGGCCCATCCCCCTTTGCCTTGAAAAATCTAATGCACATCCACAATTCACATTGTTTCCCTGAGCCCCCCCCCCCATGTCCTGCTTTTTTTGTCACAGCCATTCCTACTCCTGGAAGTGGTCTTCCCCTCCTTCAATCTTCTCTCTGTTCTAAGATGGAGAAAAAAGTGGTTTGTCCAGTGGCTTTTTCACTACTAGCTCCCCAGCCTGCTTCTCTCAAGATGCATCAGGATGAGAATAATAATTGCATTTGTGACAAGATAATCAGTGACCATAAATCATGGACCATAAATCCACTCTTTTCAGCAGACCCCCCTGTGGCAATTATCACTTTGTTTTCTCTTCCTTCCCTCCACTGAGGAGAGAGCACACACCCTCTGCCTCTTTTGGAATAATGTTGCCATTGTTGGCTTTCTAGATTCTAGGATTTGCTAAATGGCCATTATGAAGTAATAGTACCTTTGCCAATAACTGGAAGAGCCCTGGGTTTACCAGAGATGAATGGGATACACGTTGGGATGCTCCTTAATAAAGGATGTCTCCAGATCTATAACAGACTAAATCTCGAAGAGGAGAGGCAAACATGCATTCTTTTTCAAATTTAGCCAATTAGAAATCCATTTTTCTTGTTGGCTTCATTTGAGAGACTATTTTTGAGAATTCCATCCCAGAAGTGTTGTGTGGGTATCATTGTTCCATGGAACTGATGAAATGTTAATAATGTTTAAGATGATCCTTTCAACCCAGCCAGGTCTTGTTCAGAAATTATTGGAGCTCCAAAGTTCATAATTGAGACTCACTATTAGATAGTAGCATCTCATTTTATGAATATAAAACATTTTTTGATTAAGTTCTTTCTCCAGCACCATTGCACAAACCCAGCTAAACTGTTGTCATTTTGTCATCAACTTGCACATAAATGATAAAAGCGTATCTTTTCCATACCTTCACACTAAAATGTGAGAAATTCTGGTGTAAGAAACTTCTATTATATTGTGTTTCAGTAACTATAAGTCCTATAGAAGCAGGACCTTACCATTATCAACCAATAAGGCTTTGATCGTATAGTCTCTGGAACTATAGATCTGGTAGTGCAGTTTTGAGACTGCTGCTTCCAAATTTCTGAATCATAGTGGTTCCAGGGGCCCTTATGCAACTCAGATACCATGAGTCCAGAAATTCCTGAACTCAGTCTCTATCTGTAAGACAATGGGGTGAAGATTTTTGAGGAAATATTTCACCCAGAGAGGAAATTTGGTCCTTTGCTTACAGTTTCCAAGTTCAACAGAAGTAAAGAGTGAATCTGTCTGCACTGAAAAATACATAGAGTGGCCCCCTGCCTTGCTTCCTACCATTCCATCCATGTAAAGGGACACAGAGCATTTCAACGTTTGTCTTGATGCACCTTGTCCTATGACCTTTGGTTTGTGTTTTACTTTATTTATCCTTTCCTCTAGAAATGCTTGTGAAAGGCACTATACAAACTATATATGAAAAATATATAGCGACTGTATATAATATATGTGTTTGTTTTCATTTTTTCTCCTGTATGTCCCCCACCTGATTTAGAACTAAATGAGCCTACAAGCTCAACTTTGTTGCAAGGTTAGTATCCCTCTTGCCTTCTGTTTTCCCACCCTTTATCTGAACCCCAAACTCCTCTCCCTGCTGCTGGTGTTGATTTCCTGATGTTTCTAGCAGTAAAGTTGCCTTGAATATGTCAGGGGGAGGATATTGAAGGAGGCTCTTGGGAGTTGGTAAGATGCCACGGAAGCCTTTTTCTGTGCTCACCACTTGTGCACTGTCTAGGAAGGCTGAGATTAGCAAGGCAAAAAAAAGCATCATTAAAATGCCAAACCCAGTGGCCAGTATTCATACAAAGGTTTGAGAAACTAAATTTGAATCAATGAGAAGACAATGCAACTTCCGGCCACAGTGTCAGTCCAGGACAAAGGTATCTGAGCTTGCACATGAAGAGTTTTGCTGATGTCTCTTCTCTCAGCAACAACTCAGGCAATTGCTCACGGAGATTCAAATGGTCCAAGGAACACATCACCATCAGCTGGTCCACAAATTTTCCTAGGAAGGCCTATGGTCACAGGTAGTGATCCAAGGTAGGACACCAAGGAACTGTAGCTCACAGCTGACCTTTAGGAAGCCCCAGGTCTTAGATAAGTCATGTGACATTAGTTGGACTTTACTCCATCTTCCATGAAGAGTAACCTATGCTTCAGAGTTGTTTCAGTGTTCCAGTGTAGACACATATTTAAGATGCTCTGAAGCACATTAGCACATTTTGAGTCTCCAGATGCAGTCTAAAGGACAGGGACTTCCTCCACATGGGGCACAGTTCATGTGTTCTTTTCTTTTCAGTTTCTTCTCACCAGTCCCTCGGCCTCCCCTTCCACTCTCCTTGCTTTCTCATCTGTGATTTGTGCATCTCTTGCCATTCTGTTCATGCTGTACTTCTTCCCACTTCCTCCCAGTCTACTCATCCAGTGTGAGTGACATGTTACAAAGCCATCACCCCATGTCACTGACAGTAGTTTTGTTTGTTTTGCTTTTTTTTGTCATGTTGGATATTGAACTATACATGTTGAATATTGAGCCTTTGATGGCAGTTTGGGCTCCACTGAGAGCCGAGTGAGAAAGTACCTACAAAATTTAATGAAAGGGCTTTCTCTGCTCCCAATTCAGTCTTCTGATCTCCCTCATCCCAACCTTTCCCCTACATCTATCCTGTTCATCCATCTACATCCTAACTGTGTAGACACAGAGGATAGCCTTAGGTCTGAGAGGTGAAGGGAAAGTCAAAAAGAAGTGAATTGTGGGGTGCTATGTGACAGGTGAAGAAAAATGTTTTTAGCAGAAGAACAGGCAGAGCTGCGTTATCCACTTTTGTGATGCATAGCAATGTGTTGATGAGTCAGAACAAAAAAAAAATGAAGCAAAGACCAGGAGGAAAAGCAGGAAGTTCATGGATGTATTCAGAAACAACTTGTGACGCAATTGCTGCCTTTGAACTCCCAAACAAGGCATCTTAAAGATCTAAAATAAAGAGCATTAGAGAAGTACTAACGTCAATGGTAGAAAGGACAGATGCTGCTTTGGTGCTTTCATAAGTGATTAAGCTAATTCTGGCCACTAAGATTGCATTGTCGGAGGAAATAGGAGCATCTCACATTCAGGGAGTGGCTCCTCCCAAGCAGTTCCTAATTGAAGTTCCACTTAGTGGTAGAGATGCATCTCCCCACAATGCGGCCGTGTGCTATGAGACTAACAGAGGCAAAACAACAATAGTACAGATCATCTTCCCTTGCTGCTGAGTGTAGGACTCAGAGCAGGGGACCATACTGCCATGTGACACTTGTTGACCAAGTTTGGGCTGCCAGAGTACCATCTTTTGTTGCTGATCAATGTGAGAGGAAGTTCCCTTCTGTTATGATTTCCTCTTACCCTTTCATCTCAAAAAACAAAACAACAACAACAAAAAAAAAACCTTCCTTGTTGGATGTAA